GGCCAGGGACAAGCGAAGGGAGGAGCGCAGCAAGCAAACAAACCCACCCTCCTCCCCCAGCGAAACTATGCCCGCGTCGCTCACACTGCCCCCTTCACGCACACGCCTCTCCGTGGGTACTGTGGAGACCGAAGTCCCTCCCCCTTACGCGAAATGATTAATTCACCAATCAGCAGTCGGGATCAGTGGAGTGACACAACGCATTGAGACAAGCGAAGGGAGGAGCGCAGCAAGCAAACAAACCCACCCTCCTCCCCCAGCGAAACTATGCCCGCGTCGCTCACACTGCCCCCTTCACGCACACGCCTCTCCGTGGGTACTGTGGAGACCGAAGTCCCTCCCCCTTACGCGAAATGATTAATTCACCAATCAGCAGTCGGGATCAGTGGAGTGACACAACGCATTGACCAATCAATGGGAAGGATCGGTTCTGACACTAGCTCGTTGAGCTGTCTGGAAGTCGGAGGGATGAGCTGGCTGGAAATCGGCCAGTCAGCAAGCGGAGCGTGAGCGTGACAGCAGATAGGAAACCAATCAACAGACGGATCGCATTGAGTGACGGGTGTTTTAAACTATGGAGAGAAATGGGGATTGAATGACAGCGGCCGATATCCAATCTCCGGGGGACACTGGAGAGTGACAGAGATCCCCAGCCAATCAAGCATCAGAGATGGGAGAAGGGGCAAAGGCTGGCAGCATGGGGCGGGAGTAGGCGGATCCCTTCAGGCCGCGGCTTTGTGGTGAGTGGGGATATGGGGGGCAAGGGGCAAAGAATCTCCTGAGCCGGGATTAGCCGCCCGCGCCGCTCCCCTCCCCCGTCCGGGGGACACTGGAGAGTGACAGAGATCCCCAGCCAATCAAGCATCAGAGATGGGAGAAGGGGCAAAGGCTGGCAGCATGGGGCGGGAGTAGGCGGATCCCTTCAGGCCGCGGCTTTGTGGTGAGTGGGGATATGGGGGGCAAGGGGCAAAGAATCTCCTGAGCCGGGATTAGCCGCCCGCGCCGCTCCCCTCCCCCGGACCAGAACCGGCCCTGGCCCCGCGCACGCGATCTCCGGCCCCGCTCCCCTCACGCGGAACCAGAACCGGCCCCACTACCCCCGACTTAGGCCGGCCCCAGCCCCCTAAACCGGGATTCGCAACCCCCATCATCCCCCCCCCCCTGAGCGCCCCGCTCGGAGCAGCCCTGGCCTGATCTCCCTCCCCTGGGATCCCCGAGTGCCCCTCACGCACCACGGGGGCGGAAAGCAACCACCTAGCCCAGTTTCTCTGTCCCAGTCCCCTCCCTAGAGCCGGGACCCCCTCGCCAACCCTCCTCCCTCCCAGGTTCTCTCTCTGCAGGTTCCTCTCCCACCTCAGGCTCACGTAGAAGGGGACACCCAGAGCCACGTTACCGCACACCTCCCCTGGGAGCATGGGGGACACCTGCCCTAGAGAACTGCCACGAGCGGGGAATAAGGGGGGTTATTAGCTTCCAGCTCTAACGTGGGTAGGGCATGTGGGCCCCTGCCTAGCGGATGACAGGAGCAGGGGCCACTGGCTATTGTGTCCGCAGGAGGAGGAAGACGACAAGTGTGGATAGAAGGCAATTTGTGGGGGGAGAAGGGTATAGAGGCTCAACATGAGATAAGAGGGTTCACAATGGGGCAGACTGGAGAGGACCAAGGGGTTAGATAATGAAAGATGCAAGGCAAGGGGTGCCCCACAGCCCATGAGGTAAAGAAGTGCAGGCTGAGGCAGCAAGGGGACAGATAAAGCATGAGATTTAGGGGCTCATGGGACTGTCTGGAGGGGAGCAGATGTTTCCTCAGCCCCTCCAGCTTAAAGTAACACTTATGATCTTTCCTTCCTCCCCTCTGCCCAAGGGATTCAAGGCTATGCCCACTCCTGCTCTGTCCTCTTAAGAGCCTTCAGCATGGAGTTCCCTGACCACAGTAAGCACTTGCTGCAGAGCCTGCGAGAGCAGCGACACCAAGGCTTCCTCTGTGACTGCACAATCATGGTGGGCAGTACCCAGTTCCTAGCACACAGGGCCGTGCTGGCCTCCTGCAGCACTTTCTTTCACATGTTCTACAAGGAGCGGCTGGACAAGCTGGACCTAGTCTGCATCAATAATGAGATTGTCACAGCACCAGCCTTTGGGCTCCTGCTGGAGTTCATGTACCAGGGTACACTTGCCTTCAATGACACTCCAGTAGAGGATGTGCTGGCAGCTGCCAGCTACCTGCACATGAATGACATTGTCAAGGTATGCAAGAAGAAGCTTCAGGCACGGGCACTAGCGGAGGCTGACAGTACTAAGAAGGAGGAGGACTCCCCAGCCAGCTCTGAGTTCCTGCCTAGCACCTCCAAGTGCCAGCTTCAGAGCCCTGATATCTTGCCACCACCTCTGCACCGGTGTGAGGCAGGAAAGAACAAGAAAGAGGAGTGGAAGAACAATCCCTTGGAGAAAGCAGGCCCTCCACAGCCTCCTGCACCAACTGCAGACATGGCCGATACTACCCAACCAGGAATGGAGGGTGACTCACCCCGTGGACCTGTCTTGGGCAGGCCTCTCCCCCCAGCCTCTGCAGATGTCTCCCTACCCAGCCCCAGCAGCTCCACTGAAACCATCCCCCATAGCTACTTCCCCCCAGGCAATGTGTCAGAGGCTCCATCCAGCCTGGAAACCATCCCTGAGAACTTAACTGTGGAGCCACGGGTGGGCAGCTTAGATGGCTTTTACCCCAAGGAGCTGGACAGGGGCCCCATCAAAGTGAAGGTGGAAGCCATTGTGATCTCTGATGAGGAGCCCGACACAGTGGAGCAGCTGGAAAGGCGGAGCATGGAGATGAGGATGGAGAGCATTTTCCAGAGGCCCACAGTGGAGGTGGGGCCAGCTGGGGGCTGCAGCCGACACCCCAATGGCTTTGAGGAGCCCAGTGGCATGGAGGAGGTATCCTCAGAGGGTGGCTTCCTTCCACAAGAACATCTTCCCTACCACATGATCCCAGTGCCAGGTGGACAGGGCTACTCCAGCATGGTGACACCACCACTGCATGAGCAGATGTACCTGCCAGAGTACGAGGCACACCCCAACTTCGGTATCTTCACTGAGGATGTTCCCACCTGCAAGACATGTGGCAAGACCTTCTCCTGCTCCTACACACTGCGACGCCATGCCACTGTGCACACACGTGAGCGCCCCTATGAGTGCCGCTACTGTATGCGCAGCTATACCCAGTCTGGGGACCTGTATAGGCATATTCGCAAGGCCCACAATGAAGATCTGGCAGCCAAGCGCTGCAAACAGGATGTGGAGAACCCCTCGTAGTGAACCCCGCTGTGCCCCACTTGGGGATTTAGGACAGGCCGGACTTCTCGAAACCATAGGGGAAGCCTTTGGATTCTCTCCTGTAGAGATGGGTTGGATGTATGGTGAGGCCCCCCTGGATGCTAGCATGGAACTTTGAACTCTAATCAGGAGCCACAGCAACCATCAGCACAGGGACCTCATTGCAAATCAGGAGCTGCTCTGGTTCATACCCTTGATTAGTTGTCTTCCTACCCAAACCACATGTAAGACCTCTGTCCCTGCCTGAAGGAGTCACTGTCATTTCTTATACAGGGTAGTTCTGTTCTGGGCACACTACACTGGCCTTTCCAGTTTGGACTGCTGCCAGCTTTGTAAATAGTTTGGAAACAGCTGTGTTGATCAGAATAATTTAAACTATCCAGAGAACACTTTCACATATATTTATGCTCAGAGTAGGCTGCAGCAGCTGGGAGCTCAGGCCCAGGACAGCATCTGACTATCGAGGGTTATTATTGCTCTGGACAGAAGCGCTGTACAGAGGGGGGTTTAAGAGTGATTGCTTCAGTGAGTTTGAGCAGACACACATCCTTCACTTTCCCTTCCTGCCATCCACTCCTTCTGGTGGTTCTTGTTAATCTTGGTAGGGCTAATTCTGCCCAGATAATTCCTCCTTGAAGGTTATTCTCATTCCACACAGTCCCCCTTAGACAAAGGCTCCCTGCTGTTAGGGTTTTATTTTTAAGCAAATCATGACTTATCAAGAGAAGTAAAGTTAGTTTTAAAAAATGGTTTCCCCACTGATAGGAGTGGCCCTTTCAGCTCCTCTCCCCCCACAAATGAGCTACCAGGGAATACAGGAAGCCACCCAACATCCCAAAAGATTAAATTTCCAGCAGCTATGGGGCTTTAGAGACAACTAGCCCTTCTGCAAAGTACCCAAGAAGGGACAAAAAGGTTCTAGTGGGTTATTTGCAGGGGATGGTTTATATGTGTATTGCTAACTGGGGTCTTTGGTTATCAGGGCAAATTGATAGAAAGCACCTAAAGCCAGGAAACCAAAACCCTGATAGGGGCCCAGGCCAAGAGTTTCGGATTCCCAGTGTTGTTTCCTATGGCAACATTCGGACTCTCAACTGTTCCAAACCACCCCATGGCCCTAGGTAGCTGCTCTTTAAGCTAACGTTGTCCCTGCCAGTCACTACAGCTCTCTCTTCAAACACTGCCCTCCACAGTGAATGCAGCAGGGTTCCTGCTCACTCCACGGGGAGGAAGCGTCTCAGCACGCTGAAGTGCTGCTAAACGGTCCTCATATTTATGCTACCAAACCCAACAGCGCAGTCACCTTTTATCTGATTCATTGTTTGATCGTCTAAATATAAAGCAGAGTGAAAGTACTCATTTCTGTACAAAGCTGGGAGTTAGGGGTCATGGCCTAGGATGTGAGTTCAATAGTAAAACTAGCACCAGGTGCTTCCGCTGTCTGTGCTGTGGTCTCTTCTCTCTAGCACATTTTGGGTCATGACGGGTCAGCTCTGCTGCAGTCCCAGCCTCTGGCGCAGGCCAGCAAGTCCTGTGTTTATCCACAGGACAGGCTATAGCAATGCAAACTGCACAACTCACTCCTATAGTGGAGGAGGGATTTCAGTGTTTGTGGCTCTCACCTTTATGATACAGCCAGTCTGTCTGAGGCAATCCTCCTGGTTAGACGGTCAGTTAGCCACTACCACTCTGGAATGGGGTAAGAGCAGGTGAACAGCACCAAGCCTCTGTATCTCTGACTGATGGGAGCTGGTGGAGGCAGTAACCTCTAGTTTATGGAATGCTGCTAATAATGGCAGGATCATGAGAAGAATGAGGGGGGCAGTATGTGTATGGATCAGTTGAGCATAGAGAGAAGACAGATAGGCTTCTGGCTAGGTCCAGAGAAGAGCCCTCCCTCCCCACCAAGCCAATTTCCAATGGAATTTCCAACTTCAAACTGCTGTATACCTATTTGCATTAGCTAGGCTCCAGAAGTAGCACAGGAAGATCACACTGGTGCCACGGAAAGGGGCCTCCTCGGTGCTTTGTGCTATGGGCAGAACTCCCACCTAGCTGAGAATGAATTTGTAGGAAAAAATAAAGAGAATTTTTCCTCCTCAGAGTTGAATGGAAAGAAAAGAGGGAGAAAAAAAAAAAGAAACCTCACCTACACTGTTCCAAGTCCCTGTTCAGATCTGTCTGGTGCAGGAGTCCCTGTTATCAACATACAAGGACTCCAGAGGACTGACTGCAAGCCTTATTCCTGTAGAGCAGGAACTCTTAGTGGATGTTCCAGCCTTCTCAGACATGTTTCCAGAACAGGAGAACATCCTTCCTTCCCTCCAATAAATCAGTTTTCACAGCAGCAATGAAGGAGAGGCCTTGGTACATGCTGCCCACTTTGCAGGGAGCAGAAAAGATACAAACTGCCATCTCAGCCTCTACCTGCTCAGCACTATTAGAAGCCTTGGGTGCTCTAACCCAGCTTTCATTTTCCCCATCAGTGAGAGCCCCCAGCACAAAAAAAAAGAAGCAGCCTGTGATCTGTCTGAAATGATGGGCTTCCAGCAAGGCCTCCAGGAGCTTTTACTAACTCAGCAGCACTGCAGAACCTGCTAAACAACCCTCATACAGGGAGCTGCTAAAAAGTTGTGGGGTTCTCCAAAGCACAGAACCTCTACCCAAGACAGTGGGTTATTTGCACCGGATAATAGACCAAGGGACCATGTGCTCTAAATACAGCTATAATTGGCACACTCCCCTCAGTCCTCTCTACTGGCTTGGGTAGCATGAGCTGCTTGCACCTGGCAGGGATTGCTCTGTGCCCTCCCAATGCAATCATTACTCTCAGGAACTGCAGTGGCTCAGCCATGCTGGATTGGATTGCCAGTCCCATTTCACACAGATAAGCATTTACAGAAACATTTAACAGGGTTAACTGGTGGCTACAGGGTGTACTTCTGAATCTCACGTGAGCACACATGCAGTCTAAAGGACAGACAGTGCTTAAGCCAAGTGCAAGGTTACCTTTCCCCCCTGCACAAATGAGAGCCTCCATTACAGGAGGATCGGCCCTACCGCACAGCTAGGGCTAGCCTTGAGGAGGAGGATCACCCTGCTCAGGGATTACAAGGGTGGTCAATAGAGGGGCTAGAAAAGTTGCTGGAAGACAGCTCTCAAAATAAGATGAAGTCATCTTTCACCTCCTCAGATCCACCCCAAAATCAGAGGGAATAGACTGGGCTTTTATCAGCCCCAGGTGGTGCAGCAGGAACTCAGAGCCAGCACTGACCAGCATCTTCCGATGCCACCTTTAATTAGTGGGATCCTTTTGGTCTCATGGTGAGGGGAATCATGCACAGTGCAAGAGGCTGGTAGGTGTAACTATTCCTCACAACATAAGGCCATCCCATGGGGACTGCATGACTCAGGGTAAGGGCTGAAGGGGTCCTTACTCTGGAGGCAGTGTTCCCTTTGGAGCAAAACCATTCAGGCAGTCACATGGGGCAGAGAGGAAATAGGCAGGTTCCTTGGTGTCAGCACACCCGGGTAGATGCCCCCTCCCCCCCGGCCAGGCAGGAATGTCATTCCTATTCTGACTAGATAGGGTGGAATGATCCCATTTACCAAGTAGCAACATTCGAATGGGCAACAATGGCTTCTCTCAGAGGTGCAGGAGTCCAAGACAACCAGAAGCCTTAGCCAAACATCTCCTGGGAGGCGTAGGTCATATAGAGGAACCCATCCTCATCTCGGTTCAGTGTGTACACTTCAGCCATGGTGAGTGACATGCTGACCAGGCTCCGGCTACCATCCACCAGCAAGTAGAACGACTGGGTGGAGCTGAGGGACATCCTGTTTCTGGGGAAGCAAGAAAGCAGGAGAACTGAGTCCCACCTGAAGGGAAGAAGGGAAAGCACTGAATTGTCTTCCCTGAAAGCACCCGCTGCCTATTCAGCCCGGGGGCAGGGGGCACAGGGCACAACAGTATTGGGACATTGCCTGCACTTGTTGACAGCCACCCCCTACACTTCACCCATAAAGCAGCAGTGCATGGAGATGGATGCCCCTTACCCAGGGCACCAAGAAAGGATGGTTCAGAGAACAGTCTCTGCATTAGCCTCTGGTAGGTAGCACCTTTCTCTCTAGCACCCACTCGAGCACAGCATAAGTGGGCTAGTGACTGCCCGGGTCACAGCTCTCTCCTGTCTCAACTCAGAGAGGGAAGCAGGAGCCAGCAGGGGCTGGGGCACAGACACCAGGAGTGTGATACCAACCAGACCCTCACCTCCAATCACACTGCTCCTCTCTTGTCTTACCGGATAATGGTCACAAACTGACCCATGGTCAGCTCCTGGGGAACCAGGAACTTGGTCCTATCCAAAGCTGGCAGCATCTTCTCCTTAGGGTACCGCTCCAGGATCACCTGAGGAAAAAAAGGCACGTGGCTCGGGAGCAGGGGGAAGGTAGCACTCCTCCCCCAGCCCAGGCTACCCCCTGCCTTTCCCTGCCCCTGCGGACGGAAGGATCCAGTTCCCATGCAGTGGCTGGTGTTCTCGGCCGCTGCTGTACGCTGAGCCCTCGCGCCCCACCTCCTCCCGCCAGGCAACCGCCCCACCCACTCACCGGGAGTTTGCTGGGGAACCTGGAGCGGACCGCTGCTACTTCGCGTTTCCTGGTAGCTGGAACGAGAAGTGGGTCCAAGAAGGGTCACAGCCGGAGGGGCCGAGGCTGAGTCAGGGCTACCCCCAGCAGCGCCCTCCGAAGCCGGACGGAAGGAGGGGGAGAGACCCGTCCGCGCCCACAGAGCTCTGGACCCTCAGAGAAAACGAGCGAGGGTGGGGCAGCTAGCCCGGAGCAGGACTCTCTGCTCCCCCGCTGCAAAGGGAGATCCAACCCCGGTTCAGCTCCCCTGCTTAAAGCCCGAAGGGGGCAGGGCACCCCAAGGTCTCCCACGGCCAGAGCTTCCTTGCAGGAGACGCCCTGTCATCTCCCCTCTCTGCAGGGACCCTCCAGGACTCCCCTCTCACCGAAGCATTTCCGCTGCTTAAAGGGGGCGCGGGGCTCCCGGCTGCCAGCCACTGGCAGCATCTTGCAGGACGCGAGCAAGCGTCGCCCGGCCCTGAGGCCCTTTAAATAGCGCTGCCCCACTGCAGCAGGATCCGTGCAACTCCGCCCCGTCCGCGGGGGGAGCCCTGGGACCCGGGCCCTGACGGGGCTGGGGGCGCAGAGCACTGGGGGCTGATTTTGTTTCTGCTCAGACTGAGGGAGGGCAGGCCTGTTAATCGCCCCTGCTCTATGGTAGAGACATGGAAGGGCTAATTGCCCCAGCCTCCCATAGACGGTGGATGAGGGCGTTTGTTAATTGCCCCTGCCCCCGATGGATGGGGTATAGGAAGGTCTGTTAGTTGCCCCTGTCCCCAGCGGCCAGAGGGGACTTCGGCCTCATGGTCATTGAATCCAGTCGCCTGGGCAGGCCTGTTAATCGCCCCTGCTCTATGGTAGAGACATGGAAGGGCTAATTGCCCCAGCCTCCCATAGACGGTGGATGAGGGCGTTTGTTAATTGCCCCTGCCCCCGATGGATGGGGTATAGGAAGGTCTGTTAGTTGCCCCTGTCCCCAGCGGCCAGAGGGGACTTCGGCCTCATGGTCATTGAATCCAGTCGCCTCGCTCCCTTACGGGAGCGAGCAGCAGCCCACGTGGCTGTGCC